GTCTAAATTAAGCCGTCTCTGTTCTGATTCATAAAATACTGTTTCACAGAAAAGTGAATCACTGCATTACTTATTAATGTAACATAACATAAATTATACTTACATTAATTTAAAACAATTTCTTCATTAAAAGGAAACATAAAAAAGGTTCCAAGTGAGATTAAGATGCAGGAACAAACCAAGATTTAATTTAAAATACATTTATAATAACTACAAATAATTACACGATATTTTTAAGGGTCACATTTGCAACAGAAATTTGCTTTAATCTGATCTTTTACTTCTAATGGTTTATGGGTCTCCAGAATTAATAAATCACTTAGCTTGCAGATACACAATTGAAAGGCAGCACAAGGAACTCTGGGCACAGCTGAATGAATGAAACTGGAAAAGCACACCTCAACAGTGTAAGATACTCGCTCAGGACAAGAGACCAAGCACTTTACCAACAGGACTAGGAGTTGAGGGTTTTATTCCCACATTGATAATCTTTTATAGACCATATACAAATTGCCTCAGTCTCTTCAAATGTCATTCAGAATGGTAACTGTCACTGCGGAATCACAGAGTTCTTCCGGAAGATGAGAAAATACTTATAAAATGCACTGTGGTCTTCAAGAAATATATTATAAAACATGGAACACATTTACCAGTGGCATACAAGAAAAGTCATGAGATCCAGTAGTCCCCATATGCTGGCTGACCCTTTGTATCTTAGGAGTTGACATTAACTCCAGCCTAAATCTCAGTATCTGGAAGTGTGTGTTTAAAATTTTTATTGCTATTTAGGCTAAGAAAAATTCTAACATCAAAATTTGTAAAGTGTCACTCATCACTTCTTCCACTTAAGTGAACAGAGAGTTACATTAAGTTACATAAATACAGGCAGATGATACAAATCCATTTTTTTTCATCTTTGGTACCCAACTACATGGGATGCAGAAATATTTTATCAAGTAGATAATCTGTTTTATCAATAGCTAGTAAACCGTTTTTGTAAACTGTCTCTCAGCTGAGAAAACAATACACTACTTACATCATAATGGAAAAGGAATGACCTCAAGATTTCCAAGCAACACAGCTATTTTTCAAATCTGAACTCCCCTGCTGATCATTAGAAATAGTTTCAAATGTCCCATTCTTGGCCTTCACTCTGGACAAGTCTGCAACAAGGTTATAATTCCAAAACATCCAATTTCTGCATGGGGTGCTAAACAGTCTGTCTTCCCCTTCTCTTAGCACACCATCATTCATATTAGTTTGAGGTCTCTCCTGAATCAAGCTGTGCTTATGTTTTATACAGGAAGTGTGAAATCAAAGTTATTTTGTTTCTATCTCCTGCAGGCTAATAAACTCCCTCAAATTCATTGCTTTAACTGCATTTACTGTTCTGTGTTTAGAAATGCTATGGTCTGAACCCTGTCCTCAGTCAAGGTATGGCCAGTATGAGGCAGGTGGTGAATATGGTCCAAGAAGGCTCGGTGCTAGACCAATACGCTCCAGACTGTGATAGTCTTTTGTTGATTAGTATTTGCAGAATGTATTAAAAAAAATCAAAGTAGGTGACTTCTGCTTATCTGATGACATCAGTATCACATTCTTACACAATTCCCAGTGATCCAAAATGCTGATGAATGAAGGACAGATTTTTATTTCTTTTGACCAAATAACAGGAAATATTAGAAAGTTAAGGCAGGTTAGAAATGAAACGCAATTCCAATAGGTTTTAAACCAGATTTAAGTTTTTTTTTTTTTTAATTCAAATTGACCCAAAGCAAAACTTACATTACAAAGGAAGAACAAAATACATTATGATATAACACACTAGGAGTTACATGAAAGCTAAATTTGTGGGCAAATGGCCTTATCCCAATCACATTCTGGGCTAATGAGCAATTCTGCAGGAAAGTTAGAATCTCAATTTTATATGGTCCACTCTGTAATCAAACTACACATTCCTGTCTCTTAGGGTGTGCATCTGACAAGTCATGCTAGACTCCCTCATGCTCCAGATGTGTACTCTTGCTACTGCCAGAACACTGAATTCTCTAGTGGAAATGCTGTTCCAAGCATGACTGATAATGAATTAAAAAACAAAACAGTCAAGTCCTCCAAACTAATAAGCATGGATTATTCTGTAGTAAATAGTTTAGAAATATGGGAATTAAATAATCTAAAAAACACTCTTACTCTGCTGTATATTTATAAACACAAATATTTACAAAAACCAAAACCTTGTTTTCAAAAGATGAGGTTTGCAGTTCATTAATGATCATAATCTTTTGTGAGCTGGTTTCTTTGGTTTATTTGCCAAATATATTTTTATAAAGGTCTAGTAACAGGCTTAAATAATAAATTTCAAAAGAAACATAGAAGAATCAGTGACGAATTTGACAATATGCTGAACATTTTAGTCAAGATTCTGGAAAAACCAATCAGTTGATTTTCTGAAAATGCCTCTTCTTTCAGTATGTGACTACAGAATGCTTCTCTGCCAATCAATGCAAATGCGGACCTGCATGTTCGTCACTGTATTCCACCAGTTACCAACTTAAGAGACATTTTAGTCACTGTTAAATGCGGTATGTGATTGGGATTTTATTAACAACAAAAATAAAACATTCTTTTTAAGTTTCCAGATAAATCAAACCTCAAACAATAAATAATGGAATTATACACTTCTTCATTAAATAGAAATTTCAATTCCAGGAAGAGCTCTCATAATTTTTTTCTGAAGTCACAGCAGCAATACAGAACAAAGAATTTACCTTAATCTGATCTTTTTACTTGGAATTCCCTGACTCAAACTCAGTGGCTAACTTAGTTTAGAAACCTTTGAATGGTTGGGGAAAGAAAATAATTTTAAACTAAGCGAATAAATTAATACACACATATGTGGAAATAAGCCCTGTGCAAATGTAACATTAACATCACCGCTCAGAGTGCAGTACTCCTGGGACCCTCCCACCTCCTTGTTCCCCTGGGCCTGGGATTTTAGGGAGAAGTAACACTCAATTCATTTCTGGCCACACCATGTCCCTAACACTGCTAATGTGTCTTAGCCCCAACCTGGGTATTGGTTTAAAGAATGAGAACACAGCTCAGCAACTATCTTCACCAGGGACTCTCTCTCTCTCTCTGGAGATAACTTTTTGGAGATATTTTTACAGGGAAAAAGACAGACCAGCCATTCTTATCCATTAGGATCCAGCTGCAGTTTGGGGATGGTTATAAAACTGGCCAGCTGCCTACAAAAAGAGTCCATGGGCCACATCAGCCATCTCCTGAATAATCCTTTTTTCCAAAGCTGCCTGTTCTTCAGAAACCTATACATGGCCTAGGCACAAGCAGATCAGATTCTCTGATGCCAAAATAGCTACTCTGCATCCAAGAGAACAAACTTTGTGCTTGAGAAAATAGCACTGCTGGCTTTGAAAATGGTAAAGCCAGAGCAGATTCCTAATTCTGCTTAATTACACTTCTAGGTGAAATAGTTTTATACTTTATGACCTAAATCTAGAAATTCAGACAGGTAAAGAGAAGCCCTTCATCTTGTAAACTTCTGATAACAAATTTATTAATAGCATGTAAGTGTAAATATTCTGAAGTTTCCCAAAGCACTAAGAATGATACTGGGACATTTGAAAAAGTTCTCCTGAAACTAACATGATGAAAAGTCAAGCACAGAATGTATCTCCCAGGGCATCATCATAGATGCCTAATGCCTCTGGAACCTTTCCTCTTGTTATTGACACTTTGTCATATCTATGTTTACACTGCAAACATATGCCCAATCAACCCAGAGAATAAAATAACTGTTCTTAAGAGCTTCGCTGTATATAACCTTAAAATAGATAGGAAATGTTTAGCATATTAGGAATTAGCCAGACTCACAAATGTGCACCCATTAGAGATTTTACCCTTAAAAAAAAATTATTTTTTTTTTAAACTGGAAAGAAAAGAAACAACATGAAACCACCCCAAATTATTTAACTAGTAAAGCCACATGGTTTAACAATATTTTGGGCTATTTTTAGGGAAGACTCTACCACTGGGATATGAAATTTTCTGCTTAAAGTGAAGTAAAAGACATATCTTAAAATGGAAATCGCAACTGACATACTAAAGTTGTGCAGTGAAAATTAAAGTGGCGGTTTCTGTTCTCACGGGCATGTCAAGGCCGGCTGTGGACTGATGGACAGCAAGTGAAACAATGGATAAAATACACCAGAAAGAGTATTGCACTGGAGGCACTGTTTTAAAAACAGAATACACTGGTTTTACGAAGTTATTTTCTTTCTGATTAATTTTTTTAAAAGCACAGTTCAACTAGAGATAGAAGTTGAGACGATGTCTCAGGGTAGTGTACTACAGTTGTTAAAAAAAATAAGTTAAAAACAAGAGCACACCAAAAGGAAAGCAGAGGTATTGGATTTATGGCATCCGAAAGCTACATTAATTAGGAAAAAGAACAGTTTAAAACAGCCAATTTGTACTCATTAAAAATGAATGCGGTGACAGCATTACTTTAAACATTTCTTAGGGCATTTTCTAGAATAACCCAGGACCACCCCCCAACCCCGGGTGAAATTGTACCTCCAAACTTTAACAGGTGTTCTGCTGGTTTATAATACCGTGCTCACCAATGAAACCATAAATTTGGAAAGGGTAAATTCTCCACTCCAAACCTGCTTGTGTCATTTTAGAAAAACAATTTTTCTAAATGCAATATTGTATAGAAAACTTGGACCTCTTAAACTTGGACCAAGAAACCAAATTAAGACCTCAAGCATGTGGTGTGTGTGTGTGTGTGTGTGTGTGTGTGTGTTTATATATATAAAAAAATCCCTCCCCTACAATGAAAACCAAACAAACAAACAGAAAACCTAAAAGTGTATACCTGCTTTCTGACTTCACAGCAAATCAGAAATTGCATAGGATATACTTTGTGCAAGGCAAAAAGCCTTTTAAGTATCTGGAATATAACTCCTAATCTTGCTCACAGTTCTGGTATATCAGATATCATCAAATTTGTGTTTTAAGTAGTCTTTCATAACCTTGGCAATTGGTAGTTCATCAAGTAGCTTTAGGTTTTGAAGGCCTATACATTGTCGAATTTTAATTCGGCACAGGTCCTGCAAGTTTCTGGGCTGTCCTAAAAAGACAGAAAAAAGAAAATGTTATAAAACTACAAAGTACAATACTTAAGGTGGGCTTTTAGGTTTTGAAAACAATTGTTCATTTCACTGGGAAGTTCTATCAACTTCATAAGCAAAGGACTGGAAAGACACCAACTAAAAGCCTTCACATGATGTTTCATTTGATCCTTTTCACAACCCTGGGATGGTAGATATTTTCACCTCCATTTTACAGATAAGGATACTTAGTATCAGATTTAAGTAAATTGCTCAATGCCAGACTAACAACTAAGGCTTCAGACTACTACTAAAAAAATTTCTGATTCTAATCCTGGTATTCTTTCCATTACGAATCAGAAGAATTCTGGTTCTCGTCCTGATTAGGCCTCTAACATGTTGGATGAGACTGTGTGAGCAAATCATTTCTCTGGGCTTCAGTTTCTCCATCTGAAAAGCGTGGGGACTGAATGAGATTCCCTCTACTGTGAGACCTCCTTCCAGTTCTGGGTCTAGGACGCCTGAGCCTCAGTGCCTATCACAACCTCTGTAGAGCATGCCAAAGGACATCAGCCCACCTGTTCACCATGATTCTGGACACAGCCGAACCTTGGCTGTGAGGGTAAGGCTTGAGGGGTGCAGCAGGAAGGGGATTTGAAAAATCACCTCAAGCCATTCGGAATCTGTGTCACTTCAGGCCTCAAACCCCTGATCATCTGCTAACAAAAACTCCTGTTATATAACTCAACTCAAAAGAAAAACCATAAAATCCAATTTCTTTCACTTTTGAATACTTTGTTTTACCAAAACAATACAGATGGCCACAAACACAGCAAAAATTCAATAGTGCTTCAGTAGTGTTTGGAGTCATGTAAGTTCTGCTTTCATATTAAATGATAATAATAGTAAGAGCTAACATATATTGAAGACTTACTCTGTGCCATGTATTGTTATAAGCTCTTGACATATAACTCCTTTAATCCTTTTATGAGGGAAGTACTTTGATCATCACTCCCATTTTATAGAGTCTCAGAGAGATTAAGTAATGTGCTTAAAGTCAAGTTGAATGCCATATTTCAGTCGTTCTCAAACTTTTTGGTCTCAAAACCCCTTTATACACTTTTAAAAATTGTTGAGGACCCCAAAGAACTTTTATGGGGGCTATATCTATGGATAACTACCATATTAGAAGTTAAAACAGAAATTTTAGACATATTTATTAATTCATTAAAGAAATATTCTGCTTAAGTTACTTAGGGCATAATAGTGAATAAAATGAAGTTCTGTTCTCACTGAATTTATATTCTCTTGTATATTCATTAAAAGAACAAAATTATACTTATATGTCTCAACAACACTGAATCTCGGAAACAAATATGTAAGAGAAAAAAGCAAAATTCAATGCCTTAACTATATTATGCTACCATTTGTGTAACTCTTA